TATATGAATGTGTGTGTAAATGGGTGAATAGCAAACTGAGAACTGGAAATGAGCTTTATAAATACAGACCATTTGAATGGATATACAATAAGTCCTTGGATGGATGTTGTGTGAGGGTCGCGACCTAAGCAGAACTGCTCTACTGCTGAGGTCTGTGAAGACTGAGACCTACTTGCTGCTGCTCGTGACTTTGTATTTGGCCAACTGAACTCCGACTGAAAAGTCAGACACTTTGAATTATCCGAAGCTATCGCAAACCTTTACCTGTGTCCACTTTTATAAAACCCTGCTCTGCTGAAGTGTAAACTATTCTACAAAGAGACGTGTGTACAGTTTGGTGAGATCCTCCAGTATTTTACAATTAGCAACTGAGTTTATATCTGACCGTTAGCAATCCAGTTAGTTTGGAGAGCTTTTGTGACTGAATGGCATTTAGCATGTAACCAGCAGCGGCACTGTCAGCTGAATGAATTTCACCCTCCCATGTGTCCTCATGAACTGGGTGTTGCCAGTTTCTTTATAGAAGCTTCTGGGGTAAACAATTAACAAATACCAATATGATCCCATAGCACCTTACAATACATGAAGTCAAGCAATTATCATTTCAATAATTTATACCAATGTACTCATTAGCCAACAGAAAGGACATGTAACAAAGGGAAAGTATTACAATAGCCACGTTTGGTATTCAAATAGCTGCGAGACACACACAAATTAAACTTAGGGCTCTATTTTACACCTGGTGAAAAGCAAGTTTGCTAGTTTCATCAAATGCAGTTGCACATATCTGAGCGCCCGTGTGATAGTTTGTCTTAGAAAGAGGGGTCGTCAGGTGCATTGTGGGTACACGGCTATGTTGAGAAGAGGCCAATGCTTCGGTCTGCTTTGCGCCCAAGCACGTTTGTTTTCTCTGCAGAGAAGCATTCTCTCTCTTATTACAAAGTAAGAGGCAAGTGTATCTGCTTTTTAAAGTGAATGGGGAAATGGCACTTTGATTTATTTCATCTTACAACCACAACGCAAACATTATTCATTAAAGGTACAGTGTGTAGAATTTTGTGATATCGAGTGTTGAAGTTGCATGTTGCAGCTGAACTCCCCTCACCTCACCCTCTCCTTCTAAACATGAAAAATAAACTGTGGTAGCTTCAGTTGTCATTTAAACTCAAAAGGTGTTTAGTTTGTTCAGTCTGGACTAATGTAAAAAACATCGGCCTCCATAGAGAGGGTCCCCTCGATGTAAATATAAAGTATTTCAATATAAAGGGTCTTTTCTGGGGTAAATAAAATTACAATTCATACAATTTAGATGAAACAAACTAGTGAGGATTATTCTACATAAGTTTTCTACCAATAGATCCCTTTCACCTAAATCTTACACACTGGACCTTTAAGAGTATAACCCTTTTTGAACAACCTTTTTTTTTTTTTTTTGCCTTGAAACAAGCAAAAGTCAATTTGGACATAACCAAAAATACTTGTACACCATGCGTCCAGGTCGTTAAAATAGAGCCCACGGTTGAAGACAAACAACTGGACATAAAAAGCATTTGTCCAAATAAAGTTAAAGCAGAGGCACAGAAAAATTACAACATGGAGAGCTGTCGGTCCACTTCTCATCCTTGTGGAGGGGGTGGTTTAGTCTGTTTCTTCCACAGAGTAAGAAAGTCACGTAGACAGAGTCAATGAGCCTTTGAAGAAATCTTCTATCCTCCATTATCTTGCCAGATGCGTTCAACTATGATGAGATCAATGGCGTTTGAAATATTTATTGTGGTGACCTTAGTAACTCCATCCTTGAGTATCAAACTGGCGGCGCGGTGCGCTGATGAGCCTTTGATTGGTAGCGCTGACCAGTGAAATTACGGATAAGACAAGAGAGCAGTCTTTGCCTGCTGGAGGAGGGAGGAATCTGAAAATATAACCTAAAGTTGCTTTAAATCAGCCCGATGGGAGATTGTGTAGCTTTAAAAAACCTGCTGTGCTCAAACAGCCTTCAGTGGGTACAAAAAGTCACTGTTATACCATGGTGTTGCTCTCGCCAGCTTTGTCCACATACTGAAAGAAAAGAAAGAAACTGTTACGTGTCGTCTGGGTGATCTTCAAGTAAAGCCCGATCTGACACACAGAGCCGCGGAGCTTTTGGTGACATGCAAAGTGCGAGGGAGATTTGTGTAACACTGCTGGCTCAACTGCAACGTTTCTAATGGAAAGCATGCATTTTTAAGAGACACACCACAAGTGGACAGAATTTTGTTGCCATCATTTAGACATTGATTTGGTGCAAATTTGTAAACACATGTTGAAAACTGTATTGTTACCAATTATATCACAAAGCACATCTGTGTAAAATTCTTCTAAATTTAAATAAAGTACTTTTTTTGGATTAAGTCACATTTCAAAGACTGGAGACTTGAGTTGCTGCAACTGTTAGAAAATGGCCAATGAACCGAGGTGCCATTTTCCCCATGGATGGTTTCTCTCATTTTAAATGTTTCGGAAAAGTTTGTTTTTAATCATTCGAAGTTACAAAAATATGGTGGAACGTGTCATGATTGACAGTTGAGACTCGCCCCCCGCCTTCTCCGGGGCTGTGGCTAAGTGGGAAGCGGGTCAATCCCAGTCTTCCCACGCTGAAGTGTACCTGACACTGTGCAATTCTCAAAGAAAAGTGCTGCCCATACTTGCACTGAAGGTGTGAATGTCAAAAACTGGACTGTAAAGTGCTTTGAGACATCAACACACACACCATTTCAGCTTGTAGCCCTCAGAACACTTTCCTCTTAAGATGATGTGACAAGAGAAGTGCTAGCACCTGACCGGAGAGCAGATACACTCACCAAGTGACCAATACACTGTATGGCCACTAGATGGCCTCTGTGGCCCTCCTGTAGGTGATGCTTTGAAGCTGCTCGCCCTGAGAAATTATATAATCTAGAAAATTGATCAGCTTTTTATAATGTCCTACACAGTGTACTGATTCTGTTGGTGGTACAAAACAATAATAGTACCTCCACAGAAGAAGACGTTGTGAATGTAAATCCACCACTTAATCGTTTCACTTCTGCTGTTATCATAATTGAAATCATTCTCTCCTAAGCCTGAGAAACCTGAGAAAAGGTTTGTGTAGCTACAGCAAAACATGTCCCATATTGAATAAACAGCGGATATAAGAGATGTATAATAAATTCCATTCTGTGAGCTGAAGAATGAACTCTACAGGAGGCAAAGAGTCTGTGCAAACTGCCAAAATCTGTCTTAACGGGCAGTCATCGGGACTCAACAGAAGTTCTTATGTCATGAAGGATATTCAAAATATTGTAAGGTCTGAACCTCACTGGGTAAAGTGCATTAAAATAATGTATGCTGTGATTTGACTCTATGGAAATAAAACTGTACGGAAGGGAAAAGTCATTTCCCAAGTTTTCATTTGTGTTCTCATATGTCTTGGATCGTTCTGCTTTTGTGAACCTCTTTCAGAGAATAAACCTCCTCACAAAATAGACATGATTTGGTGTAAGCTATTAATTAATAGCTGTTAATATTACTAAACTATTTAGAATTTTTGAATATTAGCTAGCTTGCTTACTGCCATTTAGTGCCAGTATGTTACCAGTGAGTTAACTTGTTTCCACATTGTTTGCCAGAAACAGATTAACTGATTAGTTAATAAAACAGAGGAAAAATACAGTCTCAAATTTATATAAAATTCCCATATCTGTGGTGTGTGCCTTTAAAATCAAATACATTGATCAAGATTAAAGAAATAATAGTTAATAAAATGGACCAGTTGCTAAACAGTATTATATGCTCTTTGTGAGACTCTCTGAAAATTGTAAAGCGTGTTAAATATGTTAGTAAGCAAGGGAAAATCGGCAGTGACTGACCACGACTGCTGATTGTCCTCAGAGCCTTACGAAGGCTTTAATAAAAAAAAAAAAAGACACACACAGAAACATTCACCTCTAAACAAAGCTTTCACACACAACAGCATGGCAGGAGCATGTTCATTAGCCACAGAATAAACTATGCATCTGCTAACCTGAGCTTCTGGATTGAATAGAGACAGATCCCAATGACTGGAGTTTAAGTGCAGGTGACCCTGAGCTCATTTTATTTCCAAAACTGCCCTTTTTCACGTTAAATTACTCCAAACACTCAGTGAACTCTAACAGATAGTCTCTTCGCTGTGTCATTAACCCCTGTGATGTGCAGGAGCTGAGCCGCCATTTGACTGGAGCAGTTAAGTGAATCAGTTGTGGTGTTTGAAGATGGTGATTAATGAACAAGAGAAAGAGCCATGCTGCGTGTAAACGTAGCAGAGCTGCAGGGCTGCAGCGGCACCGGGTAATACTCACTGCACTGATGAACGGCAGGTTTAGGATAGAGCCGAGGACAGGTATTCTTCTGATGAACCCTACTGCAACTGGGAAGAAACCCCTGGATGTCATCGAAGTAGAAGAGAGAGAGTGGGCGGGGGAGAGAGGGTATTAGATACAAACAGGGAAAACTGAATCCTAGCCACAGGCAGTAAGTGTAGCTGCATGGAACAGTCCAATAACATGGACTACCATTGATAACTAAACCTGTATGTTTGATAATGACAGTTTTCATTTCATTATTTTATTTTCTCTAAGGCCTGCACTAGCTCAAGAACAGTATCTCCCTAACTTCTCCAACTTCTCACAAACTCTTTTCACCTGCAGGCGTGTGTTCGACAGGGTGCAATGTGAGGGAGGAATCGTGCAGTCCTCCCAATTTCATCCCTCACTAGTTCAGTGGTGATGCACTAGCAGCAGGGGGTTGTAAAGCCACCAATTGTGTTCTTTGTCACGCACACACAGGCGGGAAGTACCACCAAAAAGGACTGATCAGTCTCTGTGATGGTGAGTAAGATCTTGTTGGCCCGTGATAAGACTTTTTAATTTGGTTTTGGACTTCAGCCTCTGGGTTACATCAGCTACTTCAGTGACTGAACTTGGGGCTTGGATTTGAGCACTGACTGCCTTCAGACTTAAGTTATTTTTAAATCGACCATAATAATTTGGCACAAGATAGTGACAGCCATATTAAAACGGTAACATTATTCACTTTTGAGCAAGGGCAGGCACGTGTTCATCAGTCTACATGTGTAGATTCATGTGCATTCCAGCAGTAACAGTTTTAACGGGACGTCCACTGTCATGCACTTTGCTTTCGCAGATTTTTACACCAAATTCAACTTTGATGACTCCGATGATGGAGACTTGACTCTGACTCAAGTTTGACTTTTCTTTGGTGACTTAAACTTGACTCAACTTGAGGTTCAGTGACTTGACTACAACAGTACCTGCCAATATTAATGAATAGGTTTGCAAGTTTCATGTCAGTGTTAATATTGGCACCTGACTGTTTAATGACAGACTTGAAAAACTGTAAACCTAAGATCTACATTCTATTTCACGTGGAAAAGTGCTAAGTAAACATGAAAAGAATCATGCATATAATTATAATTTAATTGTTTGTTGGAAAATTCTAATAAACTTGTATACCCAGTCTACTCTCGCTATTTCTCAGCTCACGCCTCCATTGTTTCCTCTCACCTGAACAACAGAAAGAAGCCATAGACCTCCAGCACGACCCCGACAATGGGCCAGCCAATCAGCACCACAAGCACACCCCCCAGGAAGAAACTGGTCGCCTTCATCTTGTGCTTCTGGAAGAAGAAGCGGAAGGTCCTCTCTAGCCCAATGACGAAGGCAAGTCCAGCAACAAACAGGATCTGCGGCAAAAAAGAAGGGTGGTGCAATATTAGAAGGGGGGTTGAGTTCTGTGGGAACAAACCTTCATCGTGTATTTAGCAAATTGTTCTGCTGCACCTTGTGTAGAGTCTCCAGTCAAAATTGCTGGTGTGAATATGAAAATTAGGACATGGGATGGAAATGTACTGTAATGATACTGTTTATTTACGGCTGAGTAGTCAGCTTCTTTCTAATAAAAAATAGAACATATCAGAAAAAAAGAGGATGAAACTTATATTTGATTTTGATTGAAAAATACATTTTCAGGGTTGACCACCAAACAACCTCTACATTGAATTTACTTGATGAATATCAAAGTTCTTTTATTACTGAGAAGTAAAAGACAATTAACAATTTTGCCCTCAATCTGGATCAAAGGCCGGCCTCCTAACCACTGCTCGTGACCGGCATATGGAAGTGGACCTTGGCAAACTAAAGTTCCCAGCCAAGATAACGGCATCACAGCTGCGGCCAGATGCCATCATTGTTTCCGACTCCTCCAAGCAACAGATCATGCTAGAAGTAAAAGTGCCCTCAGAAGAACATTAAGGGCGGCCAATTGGAGGAAGCGGGCCAAGCACCAGGAGCTGGCGGATATGTGCCAAAGGAAGGGCTGGCGAACCCGATGTGAGCCTGTGCAGGTGGGGCTGCCGAGGTTTCTCAGGTCATTCTCTCTGCGACACATCCACAATGCCATTACAGTGAAGGCGAATCTGTGGGTGAATGGCTCTGGTGTCTGACTGGATATTATCAATATACTAATGTTAACACACCAATATAGATTCTGCACCACATGTAAGATCCGAGTCCCTGAACGTGCAGTGCCAGCACCAGGTGACACAGGAGGAGAGAAAGTTGCACCTGTAGGTTTCTCGTGATTACAGATTAAGCATCAGTTCAACGGAGGGAGCAACATCACTCACGTTTCCGATAGCCAGCAGCGCTTTGTCAAAGAACAGGATCATCCCGAAGAAGAGGAAAAACACGCCGAAGCCTGTTAATCCCATTCCAATCTCTGCAGAAGACACGGATACAGACACACACCACAGGAATGTTAAACAGTTCCATCTGAGATACTCACCGCGGGACAATGCACAGGTACACAACACGGTTCCCTTAGTTCTGACCAACTGATTTACCAGCCTACATTTTCTCGATTGTCATCAAATCATCATTATCACCTAATAAGTGGAGTTTGCACTGATACACATGTGACCAGATCAACCAAAACTATTTGACAGACAGGGCTGTTATACAGGAAGTGTTCTTCACTTCCAGAAACACTTGATTGCAACAGGACACAATGTACTGCGTGTCATTATTGTACTAGATGGTACAAACAAATGAACATGTGGGTCTGAACAGGTAAGAAATGTACTAATAGTCACTCCACTGTGTATTTGTAGCTGCCCAAAGCTTTTAATATTTAGAATTACAACGTCAGTGAACGTCGCTCCGACTTTCCACCGGCTATAACAGTGTTTGTTCAGAGTTAGCCGTTAGCTGTGAGATCAAAAATGAAAGCTAACTTTCCTAGCAGTGCCAGCTAACCCCCAGTTAGCCAACTGCTGCAGCTGACATGAAGCCGGCGTGACAGAGATGGCGGCCACGGAGATTGCCCGAATCAACCAGGCTCTTACTTTGCGAGTCCGTTAGCGAAATCATCTTGACGCCGGACGAAGGGGCGAAGGTGTGCGAGAGGCGGACAGACTGTTTCAGTGGCTGCTGTCGGAGGAGGAATTTGGTCTGACAGCTGCCACTGCAGCAACAGCCACGTCTTCCGGAAACACACCTTCTCGCGATGTCATCTTCCGGGAACAGAGCTGCGTCGCGTTCAAACGCGTCAACTCGGTGTTTCCTTTTTAAGTCAGAGCTGTTTGTTTGAGCTGCGGAGCGTGAACGCGACACGTCTCCTCCACCGGTAGATCACATAATCCCCCCCTGCGGCATACACCACGTGAACACTCACTTTAAAACTCTGGATTTATGTTTAATCCATTTTTTACTATCCACGTGTCTTGAACGCATCACAGTTCAAAAAGGGTCAATTGTTTTCAGAGTTTGGTCTGTCAGGCAACATTGACATGCTCGAGATTGAACAATTTTTTGCTCTTATTCACGTTTCGCTGGTTATACATATCTAAATAATTGATTGTGTGATCTCTGCATATTAAACACTTCAGCTCCGTCAAATCTGGAGCGGGAGGAATAACTTGCAGGCAGCCTGGCAGGCAATATAAAGGGCAGAGTTACCGCGCACTTTCCCTCGGAGAAAGAAAGTAGATCTTCCGGCAGCTCAGTTTGGTTCAGTGTCTATAGCAACCGAGAGGAGGAGAGGCTCCGCACCCGGGCTCTGGTGATCACTGTGGGGTGAGTGTGGGGCATTTCACTCAGACTTTAGTTAATGTCGCTCACAAGTGGACAGGGACGTGTTCTTCTCATTGAATCGTGCGCGAGAAGAGAAAAACGTGACACGAGGGACACGGAGGAATCCCACGCTCCAGTGTCCAGGGTTGATTTAATGAGCCATAAACAAGCTAACAGCTAATGGTGAGGCGGAGCAGGTGAGCCGAGCTGAACTAAATGAGCTTGTTGTGCTGTGTGGCTAATGCGACAAAAAATGGCTTCAAAGGTTAGCTTGTGTCTTTTTAGTGGGTGTAGAAGTGTTGTGGTAGTCAAACTGTGTGTGGAGGGAAGTTACAATGAATGTGTTGCTTATTGACGATGAGTTAACTCCATGTGGAAATCACTTCCTGTCTGTCACTTTCACTTTCACCGAGTTATGGAATGCAGCCGAGTGAAAATGAATGTAAACTCTCAAAGTCACTCACATGGAGAACTAATAACAGAATATATGATGTGATGATCAGAGAAACACGGGGAAGAGAGGAGAGATGGGTGAAAAAGAGGGGAGACAGTCGTGTACCACCATTTTCACTTTCATCAAACTAATGACTGTAAAACAAGCGAAGGAGAGTTGTAACACACACACAGCTCACACAGAGGAGGGAAGTTACAATGAGTGTGTTACTTAGTGACATGCGTTTACTCCACGTGGAGAACTGAAAAGAATCAACACTTTCTGTCTGTCACTTTCACTTTCACCGAGTTATGGAATGCAACCGAGTGAAAATGAATGTCACTCACATAGAGAACTAATAATAGAATATGTGATGTGATGAGAGGGAAGAATACCGTGTTTGGGCCTTTGGAGCTTGTGGGTTCATAGTTGGAACTTGTAAGTCTGTCAGTGTCAGTGCTGAACCATCATCTGAGGAATTCAAATGCACAAGCACTTTTCACTTTCATCAAACTAATGACTGTGAAACCGTGAAGGAGAGTTGTAACACACACACAGCTCACACAGAGGAGGGAAGTTACAATGAGTGTGTTACTTAGTGACATGCGTTTACTCCACGTGGAGAACTGAAAAGAATCAACGCTTTCTGTCTGTCACTTTCACTTTCACCGAGTTATGGAATGCAACMGAGTGAAAATGAATGTCACTCACATAGAGAACTAATAATAGAATATGTGATGTGATGAGAGGGAAGAATACCGTGTTTGGGCCTTTGGAGCTTGTGGGTTCATAGTTGGAACTTGTAAGTCTGTCAGTGTCAGTGCTGAACCATCATCTGAAGAATTCAAATGCACAAGCACTTTTCACTTCCATCAAACGAATGACTGTGAAACAGTGAACGAGAGTTGTAACACACACACACACACACAGCTCACACAAAGAAGCAATATCAAGATTAAGGAGCACCAATGATAAAAGGGCACCTTTAAAACACACATTTACAAGTTAAAAAATTAACAGCAAACAACAATAATCAATTAAAAGCAATCACACATTGGAGCAAAAATACAAAAATAAAAAGTGCTATAGATGAGAAAAGAGTTAAAGGTGCAGTGTGTAGAATTCAGTGACATCTAGAGGTGAAGTTTCATGTCGCAGTTAAATACTCATCTCAATTTCTGTCAAAAATCCCTTTCAACTAAATCTTACACACTGGACCTTTAAAACAAGATCCAATAAAACATTATAAAAGGGTTAAAATAGTCGGTGAGATCGGAACCCGAGGAAAGCCCACCAATAAAATGTGTCATTCAGAGAGATTTAAAAAAGGATATGGAGGCCTGGTCACCTCAGAGGCTGCAGAGGACCTTAGGATACGTCAGGGCACATATTGAATCAAAAGGTTTGAGATGTGTGTGAGGTGCAAATCCAGGGCTTTATAGTTGAATTGTAACAGTAGTTCAAAACGGAACATGTTGAACTTGTGTCACTGTCTTACAGGGAATCACATCTCTGACAAAGTGAAAGCCAGCTCATCGGTTGAGAAACATGGATGGTAAGTCTGTTCTGTTCTTTCAGTGTTGATGTAAATAGCGAACCGACCTGGACACCAGACCAATCAGAACGCTCACGGTTATTCACTCTCACTTTCAACTCAACCAACCAATGAGAAACTCTTCAACTTTGTAAGTTGCTAACGTATTTAGGAGCAACCAATGCTTTTGGACAGACCCCAGTCTAATTTCCATCCATTCTGAGACCAGTCAGGCCAATCACAACCCGTTTTTATAAGATGGGGCTGGGGTCCAGTCTGCATCCAGGAAATGGTCAAACCTTACATCCCAGCCCGTCCACTCCGCGCAGCATCTGCCAATCGGCTTGCTGCTCCCTCACTGTGAGCAAACCACCAAACAAAAAAGGGATATATATATATTTCATAGCACTTATGTACATACTTGATTCTTGTTGTTCTGGGTTTGTTCTCTCATGGTTGATGCACTTATTGTAAGTCGCTTTGGATAAAAGCATCAGCTAAATTAAATTTTCACACCAAGGGCCAATGAAATTCAGTTACGCTGCATCAAATCCCTGAGAAATAGTGGAAATGTCCTATTTGGCACTAATAAAGTGACCTATTCCACATCTTGTATCCCGTCTTGTAGCTATTTGCGTAATCTTGCTTACAAACCAACAACCAACAAATGCACAGGAGTGAAAACATAACCTCCTTGGCTTCAGTAACAATTTAAATGTTGTGTTTCTCAAACAGAATAACAAACAGCTGCATGCTGTATTCACGTTTCACAAAAAGAACCATTTGCAAATGAAAATTGGTCTGACGACGCCGGATTGAAAAAGAAAGTCACTGAACTGCTTTGCATCACTTTTAATTTGCATGGGAAATGAGCTAAACCTCATTAAACAGCGAACAGTTCCAAGACGTAAACAGTCACAAGGTCCTCTGTGGTAAACCTGAAGTTGTTTCTCGTTGAGAGAAGGTTGACAATCATGGGGACAAACAGCAGATTACTATGCCACAGCCCCAAAGGGACTCTGGGGAAGGTACAAAGAGAAAGAGCTCATTAGCTGTGGAGGTGTGAGCCTCGGAGGATTAGTACCCGTGCATGTGTGAGACCTGACAGTATCCACCATGTTCACACTGTCAACATAAGCAGGGAGACAACTTGCCACCCATGTATTCTGCTTAAATCACTGTCTTCATTTTTGAAAACTAAATTGTAGGAGTGGATATTGATGTCACAATTCCAACAGCCATCACACTGGCAGGTAGCATATACATGGTATGAGGCTGACATCTGTGAGAGTTAGTTTCACATGAAAGTCTGTTATCTTGAATCAATGTTTTGACACTGTTTAGATAATATAGATGTTGAAGTACCTTTTTTATATCCACTTGCATACTTTTATTACCATTGTGCGTTCGATTGTATCTTATAATATCTGGATTCTGCAAAAACGAGAGCATGCCTTGTCCAGCTTCGCCAGCTGACGGTGTTCCTGGTGCGTTTGTTCTTCAGATGTGCAGGAAGAGCTGGACTCAGTGGAGGCCGAGCTGGAGTCGGTGGAGCTGCAGATCACGGAGCTCCTGCAGAAGCAGACTGACCTGACTTCTCGCAAGAATGCATTGCTGCAGCAGTTGGACGAGGCCTGTGACGCTGCGCAGTCATCGTCCTCCTCGACTTCCTCAAAGTCATCTGGAGCTCAGTCTAGAATGAGCAAAGAGGAGATTCAGCGCTATGATGGCTCAGGTATTGTTAACACATGGCTTCACATAAAAGCCCACTAACATCTCACTTTTGTCTGCAATGGGAATGGATTCAATCGTCAAATGCCTCTGCAGTAGACACAGGTTTTTATCAGCTTTTAACATTGCACAGTGAGGTGAGAGAGTGCCTCAGTTGTTGAACATGAACATGAAGCACTGACAGATAAATGGGAAGGGAGTCAAATGCCTTTTTAGCAGGTTTATGTATAAAAACCCTGCATATGCACAAATGTGTGCGTAAAACAGGTTTTAGCCTCGGTAGGTTTGTGTGTTGACTTCTCCTTATCTCTTCATGTTTGTTAGATTTCCCATGGTCCAAAGCAGTGGAGAAGCAGCTAAAGGAATCATTCAGTCTCTCCACGTTCAGACCACTGCAGCTCAGGGCCATCAATCTGACCCTGTCAGGCAGAGATCTCTTCCTGGTTATGCCGACAGGAAGAGGAAAAAGCCTCTGCTACCAGCTGCCTGCAGTCTGCTCCGAGGGTACGCCGAAACATGCTCATTCTACACACACACACGTACACAAATACAGTGCTGGAGATAAACCCATGTCCTTACACAGCTCATGGTTACACACAACGTAAAAGTTCATAAGATCATTCTGTGTGACTTATCTGTAACCACACATCTGTTGGTGTGTGTTGTGTGTGTGTGTGTCTTTCAGGTTTTACACTGGTTGTCTCTCCCTTGGTGTCCCTAATGGAAGACCAGATCATGTACCTAAACTCAATGAATGTGGAAGCAGCCATGCTGAATGCATCCAGTAGCAAGGTAGCAACGACTTAAAATTAATATTTTTGGTTTTATCATTGCTTTTATATAAAATAACAATATGCAAACAATGTAAAATTGAATTCTGTAGATTTCTTCAGCGAGCTTTAAGTCATTGTTTAGCTGTCTGGTTTGCAGCTTTACTGTTTGGGTCACTATCACTGATCTCAGAGGCAGCAGTTTTCATTTAGAAAAGTTCTGATCAAACCGTCATACGTTGCATTCAGAAAATCAGTCAGCAAGTGGCTCTTAAACATAGGGCAGCATGTAGGGGGTCATCAGACGAGCACAAACTCCGTCACTGTTGATGTATGAATAAGCAACTGTTTGCTACATTAAAAAAAAAAAGGTGATGAAAAATTGTTGTTGAGTTTACAACTTGAATCCAGTGCCCCCAGGTGGACAGATATAGTTATTGCAGGTCAAAATCTACATTTAGGAAGCTGTCATCATCACAGACTAAATTCTATATTTGTGGTGAAGCAGGGGTTGTTCTCGCCACATTAGTGTGGATGACAGTGATGTTTTAAACAACTGTGCTCACATGAAAAATGTTTTTTACTTTAAGGAGCATGTCAAGGCAGTCATGGCTGGAATGATTGATGCGAAGTCCCCTTACAAGCTGGTGTATGTGACTCCAGAGAAGATCGCCAAGAGCAAGCTGCTCATGTCTCGTTTGGAGAAGGCCTACAAGGCAAACCTGCTGAGTCGTATCACTGTGGACGAGGTGCACTGCTGCAGCCAGTGGGGACATGACTTCAGACCAGGTGACGGCTCGTGTTTACTCAGAAAAACCTCAATCTTCTTCTTTAGATCAAATAGTGAGTTTATGTTGAAAAAAGGTTTTAGTGTGTGTCACAATAATTCATCATCTTTTTACCGTAGATTATAAACTGCTGGGAATACTGAAGAGGCAGTTCCCCAAAGTGCCGCTGATCGGCCTCACTGCCACGGCAACCAGCAGCGTCCTCAAGGACTGCGAGAAGATCCTGTGCGTGAAACAGCCAACGACGATCTCCGCCTCCTTCAACCGAACCAATCTCTACTATGAGGTGGTAACCACAGACACACACACACAATTACTACTCCTCTGACCCTACTTCCATCTGCTCACCGATTTCAGCTGCTTACAAAACATGAAAATTAAAGCATCTACAAAGTGTTTCGATTTGCATGTTTAGCCCATTGCTACAATCCAAAAATCAAATAAAAGAAAATGACTGTCGCACAGCTTTCGATCCTTGCACTTACAAACATAACGGATTCAACACGTCGATGTCACAACATGTAAAAATTGCAACAGTGACGCTAACAGACAGTTTTTTTGTTCTCAGGTTCGTATTAAAGCGTCTGATAATGAGGCAGTGATAAGTGACATCGCCTCTCTGATCAAGAACAGATACAAGAACCAGTCAGGTAAAACAGAAAACAATACTGCTGAAAGTAGGGCTGTATGGAATATCATGTATGGGACTATGAAGCCTGTCAGTGTCAGTGCTGGTAACGTTGCTTGAGACCTGTGACACATAAAACACAGATAATATAGTGGCTTGTGTGATAATAACAAAATATAAGTAATGATCATTTATAACAATGGATTTAAATCTCTTTTTTATATATATTTATATATATATATATATATATATTATATATATATATATATAATGTACTGTAATTCATTTTTAAAGAGAATTTGTTAGATTTGATTACATAGATAATTAGAATTGTATATATATATATTCACCTAGCGTATTTCCGTGTGTGTGTGTGTCTGTGTGTTTGTGTCCACGCCACAGGGATTGTGTATGTGTTCTCTCAGAAGGATGCAGAATCGGTTTCATCTGACCTCCAGAAGCGGGACATTGTGGCCTCTCCCTACCACGCCAACATGAACCCTGACGATAAGTCCCGGGTTCACAGGCAGTGGACCACCAACAAAATCAGGGTATTGGGTTGTGACACTCATATTGCTGCTTCTATAAGCACTAGGCCAACTTTCACTTTGTCCTTTGGTTCATGGTGAGAATACTGTATACTGGCCTTATATATGGGCAGACTTTCATCCCCTTAAGAAACACTGGACTCTCCCAACCATGACATGCAAGCAGCATGGTAATGGCTTTCCAATCTGCTGGTGACCTATTTTTGTTTGATCCGCACACAGTTAAAAATATAGATGTGGATTTTACATTTAAAATGACTTAAACGTAACGTTAAACACCACTACAGCCCTGTGTCTTTGCATAGTAGCATCACTTTAATCTATAACAATCTGTTATACATTTTTTCACAGCTTTGTATCGGAAATTATATTTTTCAATGAAAAGTCAGACAAAAATCCAAGAAAGTTGACAGCTACTGTACATTAGCGCCCGCTTTGTATAAACACAACTTAGATAGTGGAGTTGCCCGTGTTATATTTGTGTACAACTTTGTTGTCCTCCAGGTGATTGTAGCCACTGTGGCTTTTGGCATGGGCATCGACAAGCCCGACGTCAGGTTTGTCATCCACCACACAATCAGCAAGTCCATCGAGAACTACTACCAGGAGAGTGGACGTGCAGGTAGAGACACAGCTCCTCTCTTATCAGGACAGCATGTGCTACTATGCTCTGCTCTAGTATATTTGCAGATAGAAAAGTCTTATTCCCTGTCTGCAGGTCGAGACAGCAAATCAGCAGACTGCATCGTCTACTTCGGTTTCATGGATATCTTCAGGATCAGCACCTTGGTGCTGATGGAGAACGTTGGTCAACAGAAGATGCTGAAGATGGTCGACTACTGCCAGAATGTTGACAGGTAAAACACACACACACACACATTTTAAGGTGGGTGGATGCCAACCAAACAGCTATTTTATTGATAAATAATTAATAGATGAACATATTGTGTTTGTGCAATATGCAAATCTACAGCAAATACAAACAAACTTACCATGCATGTGGAATTTTGATTCCTCTCACTACCCATACACACACACTTCTCTGAATCCACATTTAGGCGTCAGACCCTGATTTTTGAGTCTCGCTTCAGTTCAGTATCATTTATTTCCTCCACACTGCTGACTCGAATGTGCCCCGGGGAATCTGCAATGAGAGAGCTCAACATGCTGAACCTGCAGCAGTGGCAGCAGGTTGGGTGTCACTGTTCTGTTCATCAATCAGGAAACACACTACAGTAGGAGATTCTCTCCTCAGATACATTCATAAAAAAAAGCTCTCTTGACATCTTTTTTCGGTGTCTTCTACATATATGGCGCCGTTTTTTCATCCTGAGATATTTGTTTAGTTTTTTTCATTTTTGCATCTGTCGTGTGTTTAAAACGTCATCAATGCACCCACTCGCTCACATGAATACTGCATTGGAACTCCTGCTGTTTTCTCAAATGAACTCAACTTGACGTAATCCAGAGGTTTTACTAGGGGGCTGAAGAAATTCAGCAGAACGTCCAGAAAGCCCAGAGCCTCTTACTCAGACATTTGTATTTTAATATCCATCCAGAGAACGTCTGGAGCTCAGTGCAGGTCTGGAAGCAGCTACACACATGCGATTTGACATCGTGTGATAGACATGACGATAGATAACTGATATTACTGCTTAACTTGAACATGTCATGTTTATTGTGTGAAGGTGTCGGCGGTTTCTCATGGCTGAACATTTTGATGAGGTGTGGGACGATGAAGGCTGCAACAAGATGTGTGATATTTGCCGTCACCAGAAAGGTGCGTGTGTGTGTGTGTGTGTATGTGTGTGTTTTAATGGGAAGCCTGCTTGTGTGTTTGACATTTCAGCTAAGTGTTTGTAAAGACGTCTTTTGTGACTCCACTTAGCCATGATCTAATCTTTACTCCAGCAGACTTCGCGACTGTGGACATTACCCAGGATGCCCGGCAAGTGGTGCAGATATTGGAACTGGCGGCGTCCATGGATGAGAAGCTGACTCCTCTGAAGCTGGTGGAGGCCTGGATGGGAAAAGGCCCGGTGAAGCGCAGGAAGATGATTCAGACCACTACACTGCCTCGGCTGCAGGTCGAAGCTGTTATTGTGCGACTGCTGCTGCAGGGATACCTCAGGTGACCTCTTCTAGTGGCTGTTTTCATTTAATTAGGATTTTATATTGTGAATTATCACATTGTCTTCTGCAACTATTCAACCAGTTTCTCCTAAAAGACGTATTGTACTGTGTGTAAAGACATAGTCGGTTAAAGCATTTGTGGGACCGTTTAAATGTGTGTTAACTCTTCCCTGTCTGCTCTTTTGGTTCAGCCAGGACTTCAGCTTCACACCATACACCACCTACGTCTACGTGAAGCTGGGCAACAAAGCTGCTCTGTTGAAGAACCAGACTCATAAACTCAGCATGAAGATGAGGACAGCAGGGTCCGAATCTGCTGTGGTGAGTTTATTCTGGCCACAGCACAGCCCCATAGAAGCTGCGCTGTGTCAAGCTGCTTGTTATGATGTCGGCTTTTTCAAACCAAAACTATCTCCCTCAACTGTTTTATTACTGATTTTGGATCCAGTTTCCATTCTGTCTCACTAAGCTTCAGTATAAACAGATCCGGGGCGTCATTTATATAAATAGCGCTTAGGATTCAAGCTAAAAGAGTTTGTGTCATATGCACAAAAATAATCAGATTTATAAAACCATGCACATGAACGCACCCCTGAAGGTAAAGTTCGGTAAATCTCAGTCCACCAGGGAAATATCCATAAGCAGATCAGCCTCATGTCCCGCCCTTTACACGCCCACATTCAACCTTAAATAAATACAAATGACTGTGATGATTAATGTGCAACCTTTCTGACACATTCAAATCAAAGAGCTTGTGAGTGAGGTGGAGGTGTGGAAAGAAATTGTTTGGTGGCCACATGAAGACATTACTAATAAAAGAAAGCTTGTCTTAGATGACACTTGCACAAAAAATAAGCACGGTTATTGTGCACTTGTGTCAATTTCAGCTGCACTCACAATGATTTCTTAAATCTTTATTAATAAATACTATAAAATTAGATGCCATAACATTGTTCGACCCCAATATATAAAGTGAACATCTGCCCTTCTTCAAATTGCTTTTGTTCTTGGTGCCTTTTTAAGCCACAGGATGGATATATTGTTATTTTTAACATTGTAAACTTTGTGTTTTCTAGTATAGTAGCTGCTTTAGCCAAGTGATGTGAAATCTTAAACTGAGTTTAACTGATACTGGAGTTTTAAGGCAAACGCTGTTTTATTGGGAGTCAACTTTCTCCCCAAAAAAACTTGACAATAGTAAGAGATGCAAGAGAGATAATGGTAGCAGGAGGATTGTTGCTTTTCATGAGTAGACGTCTAAGTTTTTATTCTATAAAACTCCAGTAGATGTTGATCTCTTCTTTTTAGTTCTGCACTAAACTTTTTTCTTTTTATCTCCTGTTTGTTCATTAATGTGATTATTTTCCTTCCAGTAGTTTTTGTTCTCTTTGTGAAGTCTCACTTTCTCCTTCTAGTCCTTTCTCTTTATCACTTTAAAAATGTTTTCTAATTGTCTCTAAAAGTCCAGAGGTAAGTCTTTCAAATTCAAGCGAAATGTTGTAAGTTTTCCTCTGTACACTGAGAATCTGACGGCCCATACAAAAGCCTGTTCTTCGGAGTTTTACGTTGTTTATGTTCAACTGTGTGAAAACAAATAACCTTCGCACCTCCATCACAAAGCTGCTGATAATGATCATTAGTCTTCTAACTGCATTAATCATAGATGAACCATTGCAGATCATGTGGATTCCACTGGCCAAACCTTTTGGCATCGAATTCTGCACCATGGTGTGCTCTATTACTAAAATGATGAAAAAGTATTACGATACAAGTATTGGTTTTATGTACTTTATGTGCATGTTTTGGGGGAAAATAGTCAGACAAATAATCTTAATTTAAAGTCAACTTCTATGCTTCTGTGTACAAAGCTTTCAGTCAGTTCTCATGGTCTTCATCAACAATCAATAATAACTGTAATTGCCTCAGCAGTATTGGAGTTGTCATCTTTTTAAGGATGCAATAATAGTATGAATGAGAACTGAGCTCCTTCAGTTAAAATAATTTAAAGTAAATATAATTTTTTCTCAATATTAAACTCATTTATTGGGCAAACATTAGCTGGGTTTAGCAAGTCCATATACTTTTTAAAAAGATGGATGACATAGCAGTTAACAAAAGTGAAGCCAAAACATCTGGGTCGCTCCCTGGTGGCTGTACAGGTCATAGCCCTGCTCCTCCATTAGAGCCGATTGAGCATGGACCAAACTAAAAAATCTCACACATAAATAACATTTTCACAAATATTTGTAGCTCTAATCACACTGATAATCAAGTGTTCATGTTCCTGATACGTTTGGTTTTATTATTTATTTAATGATGGGGCTGAAACATCATGATTGACAGCTGAGACCGACTTGCATCGGTGGGACCTTTATATTCCGGCTCCAGTCCATGATCATTTCCCCAGGCTCCCAGTGACATCATCAGTGCAAGACGGCAGCACTCGTATCAGAGATATTTTGGCTTCATTCTTGGAATCATGTTGTCTTTGTTTCAGACAAGTTAAAAACTGAATATTTTAATAAATCCAGCAATAATTCAATAAAGGGTTGCTGGTTTCAACCCTAACCTTGCATTTACTGCAATAAATACTGGTTAGTGGTATAGAGGGGGTAAAGTTTTATCAGGTCATGAAAATGTCCATGTAGAAAGATGGAGCTGAAATCTGAAACATGACGTGAGTTCAGTGGACAGGATTGTTTGACCTCTGTCCTCAGCTCATGCAGGGAAACCATGGAAGATACTGATTTATGTACATCCTTGTCCTGACCCGAGTGTCCAATGTCCTCCCCTGTAGTGTTCATCGCCTACTCCATGTAGTTGTGAACCCTCTCAGGTAAAGACTGTTGTTAATGACCTGCAGGTAAAAGCTGCGAGTGTCCAGGGCAAAGCCAAAGAGGGAAAGAGATCAGTTCAAAGTGCTGGAGATGCCCCTGTGTCCAAGAAAAGCAAGAAAAGCCTCCCCTAGTCCCTGACAAAGTACAGTCCATCATTCTTTTCTCTGTTCACTGCTGCTTCTTTTGGCATTAACTGTCCAGACCTTCATCCTTCACATTTGTGTCGGACTGACTGGGTGATGGAGGACTGATGATTTGATTTAATTGATACTTAATGGAAAGCTTCATGATTTGTAAATAAATAAGCATGATATCATCTAATGATGTGTTCAGACCAAATGCAAAGTTTATTTTTACCTTGTGTGGCTGTGTGTAGGGAGTGCAGCTAATGCTAGAGCTAACCTGATTTTTAGAAGAACCCGGAGCCGAAATCACAAATTTTGAAAAGTGACCTTGTCGTCCTACTGTTTCTCAGACTTTTCTCCGAGCCCTCTCCCTCCGTTTTGTCTATTAGATACAAAAGTTGTAGCATACGACTTCTGATGACTTAAGATGGCAACAATAGGTTCGTCCTTCAGTCAGGAGAATGTTACGTGACTAGCATTTGTTGACTTTGTATGGAGCCGCACTGTGAGAAAAATTTGCTGCACGTTTTGTCTGAACACACCATAATCATTCGTACCCAGCAGGCTTGGGCAATGAAAACATTGTCGGCACAACAACCTTTTTGAATTATTTAAAAATAGTTTTTGAAAAATCTACCTCGTGACACAGCGCTGGTTACCGTTAGTTACTGCCGGTTTAGATTCAGAGTCTTATGATCATAGAAAACTTCCCCTGCATTAAAACTGTTCATATGAAGCTAAATTATTTATGTGGTTGCTTAACCCGTCTTAAAGATACTTCTGTAAGGATGTTCCCACCAGGGCACCACTTTTACACATAGTCTGTATATTGCTTACTAGTTTACTCCATTGTGCAAACAGCCTAGTTTACTGATAGCAACAGGTCGTGCATTAGTTTGTCAGAGACTCTCTTTGTGAGATAATTGACTCTATTTGATCAAGAAGATTCAACACTGTAAACGTCAAGTATTGCCCAAGCCTGTCCACGCATGCTGCTGCTAACTTTCACTAATATTTCATCAAACTGACTAACAATTTAATCTCACTGCACTGCAAAGAGAGGCAGGATGAACTGTCTGTTCATTCTAGCTACATGTTGCTTCAGAAGATATACAAGTAAAGAGTGTGGTTCTGACATTGAGGTGTCCCATGCTCTAGATTATTCCACAATGAGGTTTTAAATGCTTCGCCCTCTGATGATGGTTTTCATGGTTACAGGACACATCAGCTGTTAAAGTTAATGAAGAGGAGGTTGATTTAGCCTTTGACCTCATTGAAATGGACAGCAGCTGCTCCCCACAACCCAAACAAAATGTGTTTAAAGAACAGAGGAACATCTCCAGGAAACAGGACCAGAAACCAATCAGCCAGACAAACAAAGTGAAGCAACAGCTGGCAGGTGGACATGGAGAGGAAGAGGACACCACAGGATCCATTATGTCCCAACATGTCCTGGAGGTTGAAATCAACATAATAGATAATGCAGTTGTCAGCGAGAGTCAGAAAACCCCATCACATCCAGTCAAATCCTGTTCCAAACGGAAATCCACCACTCCTCAGAGAGCGAGGAGGAAACCTTGTGCCGATGTCAGCAGTTTGCCCGGCTCCCCATCCCGGACCTCGGTCATCTCTGAGACTGCGGCTGAGGAGCTCTGTGAGTTGAGGAACTATTACAGCAAGCAGCTGAGGAGGATAAACTACATTTCCCACGAGCACCTGGGGCAGGCAGACGAGCCAGGAGTGCTGGCGTGCATCAGGGAGCCTCTGAGGAGCCTGCGTCTGCCCCGCAGGGTGACCATCGCGGAGACGGCCCGCAGCCTGTGGACACGAGTCAGCAGCCGCCGCAAACTGCTGCACCGCTGACATCAGAAAATGGTGCTTGGTCATAAAGGTTTCCTGCTGTTGCTCTGTAGTCACGGTGCTTTGTTTACACATGTCTGCTGGTCAAACGAAAGAACAGAAACATGCTGCCAAGCACTTCATCCCTTCAATTATGCATGGAGGGAAAATCTTATTTTATTAAAAACTAAAATGATATAATTTCACGAAGTAAAATGTGTTTCATAGGCTCATGAAAATGTGAGAAATCTCATAACGGAGCTGCTTTGTTACTAATTATGATTCTTAATGGATCTAAAGTTCTGAATCTGGATTTTTAAGCTGGATTCCATTTTCTGTTCTTTTTGTATTGATGCTGAAAACCGACTGACTGACTAACTAATAAACTGAATTCTCAAAAGTGAAGGGATTTTCATAACAGACTGACATAATTTGAGTTTTATTTGGTTGTGCGAACTGGGATGATCTCATACATGTACTGTATTGAAGTATGAAACTGAAATTCAATTATATATTTGTCTTTGCTTCAGCTCCCATGGTGGACTAAGAAAAGAATTAAAACCCAAAGGAAGAAGCATATTTTCTTTCTCAAACTTTCTTATTTTATTATAAATGTCACATAAAGCACTGATGTCCCAGAAGCATGAGCCACAGACTTTAATAACTCACATTACATCAATGTACACTATACTACATAAGACATGAGGTGAAAAAACACTGAAATATAGCAAACTATGTTATCATGATGTGTAGTAACTCTGCTGATATACTGTACTATATAGTTTCACTTGTTTCTATCTGGATCAATTCGTTTTCTGTTTTTTGTAAATGTATTACATTTCAGAATAAACCTTTATTTCAAGAACCTTCAGTGTGCAATCATTAATGTTGTATGTATTATTGCTATTTTTATTGATTAGGTTTATATTGTTGCTTTTTATTCACCTATGCTTATATTCCATTTTTAATTATTAGGCTTATTTTACTGATGCTCAGTTTTACTTTCCTATATACTGTCCTGTGACAGCAAATTGCCTCAATGTGGGACTAATCTGTTGACCACAAAAATTAAGTCACATGGTGGAGGAGACGTCTTAAGAAACCCATTTATTGTCCCACAAAAATCTGAGAAAGATCTTTTCTTTTAAAACCGTGACAAATCAATAAAAGAAGGTAGAGTATCAAGAAAATATTCCCAGTATTTAAATGTGAGTGCACTTCAACACAATCCACATAATTGAGCCGGGGAAGTCTTTCTCTGGACAATCTCACACACACGGATACAAGTGTCTGCCAGTGTCAGACTAATGCAGTTGCAATTCCCCTGCACCTGCGTTGTTTCAGTAAGAAATGTATTCACGCCCAATGTAGCAGCCATGGTGTGGTTAGACGCGCCATTGGGACATTGTTATCTTGAGGAAAATGAGGTTTATAACCAATAAAACCTGATCTGGAGTCACTGGTGATTTTGTAAGGCTAATCATCAGGATAGTGGCTAATATGTGCCTATTGGCAAATGCCCAACAACTTTACACTCTGCTTGTTTCACGCACAGATGATTTGCTCCTTCATGAAGAGAAACTTTCCTTCTACCTGGCTGATTCACCTATAATAGCAATCTGCTAAGGGGCTTTTAGGGGGGTGGGGGATGGTTCTCTGATTGGTTTATCACATGTGAAGCCAAAAACACACCTATGAGTAACTAAGGGGCTAAATACAACCCTTTGGATCCATGTATTTGGTGCAGAGACCTTTCTTTCTGTCTGTCTCATTCCCAAGGTTGCCCTTTGCAGCTGGAAGAGACAGCAGACAAAGCTTTTGGGAAAAGGAAACGGGGAAACGCTGTTGAATTAAACATGAGAACAGAAGTAGAAAAATCACCTCATCCACTACATTTGGATTAAATCAGAGCGTGCAGCGTTTCCTGAACTGGAAACTGTGGTTTTAGCTGGAGACTGTTTCCAGCGGCACAATCATTCCACGAGGTGTTATAGTGAAACAGAAGGAATGTGGAAGTGGGGCAGAGTATGTGTGTGTGTTCTCGGTAATGAAGGTACAATGGTAGACCTGCCTTCTCCTCCAGAGCCACTGCAGGGAGCCAGAGATCTCTTCTTCCACACACTGAAGAGAATCCAGGCCAGGGCCGAATACAAGCCAGTGTTGTTTTTCACATCACAGATACAAGTTGTGGTAGTAAAGCGTAGAGCAACTCAGTGTCCACTCTCTTATGTACATCAATGTTAAAATGTATTTCCCTGGGGTGTTTTTTTTTTATCAGCCATTAGTTAGAGCGGAGTTTCCTTCTGATAATTATTTCTCATCCACAGCTTTGCCCTTGCTAATGCTGCTGGTCCATGTGTCCTTGGTTGATTTGACGTTAAGTAATTTCACAATACCAAATTCAAAACTGAAATCTTCTTTTTCATGGTCAATAACAGATCAGGAAAATATGAAAGATGTTCTTCGTCTGTGGCTGTGGGGTAGGGGCGGTCTTCCTCCAACCAGAGGGTCAGCGGTTCAATCCCCGTCTTTCCCATCTGCATGCTGAAGTGCTGTTGGCGAGATGCCGAACCCTGAATTGCTCTTCACAGAACTGTAAAGCACTTTGAGTTGCCATCAAGGCAGGAAAAGTGCTATATACAAACACAGACCATTTATGTGCTTCACTTTTCTACTTTATTTTGCAAAAAATAAAATCACCTGGAAGCAGAAATGAAAAATAAGACTCTTCTGAGATAGCTGCAACAATAATTGCCAACTGCAACCAACAATGAGTCAAGCTGGTGGGTCATTGCTCCTGACTGTGATCATGGATGATGATCCTGGTGGCAGCTGATCATGGATCATGGTGGTGAATTATTATTCCAACTAGATTGCTTATATATACAATATGCCTCCTCGTACTATTGGCAATACCTCTTGCAATACAATTGTCATCTCTGTCAGACATGTTCTGATGTAGAAATACTTTTAACCTTGATACATCTCACAATTTATTAGACACTGTCTTTTCTCATTACTGTGGTTTTATTTTGAGACAAATCCTGATTTGTGAATATGAGCTACACAAATAAGAAAACGTCATTGATTGATTGAATCCGCCCACCACACAAAGAAAAGACCTGGACAAGGACTTTCTAATATCTAACCGAATGAGTTTGAAAGCCATTCATTTTAAAACCTCTCTGAAATGCTTTGCCTGAAATTCATTGATCGAGAAATGTGAAAACGAAGTGTATCAAGAAAGTTTTAAAAGATCTTTCATAAACTACGACTGGAGATAGCTACCACCTCTGCTCTGGAGCCTCTGGTTGAAGAGGGACAGATGTTGCACGGTCTGAACGGTGTAATCTCTGTGCCAGGAGAGGAGACTTATCTTCTGAGAGCTCTGAGATGATTTGTCAGTGTATTATTGAGAAGTGCTGGGCGTATATATTGGATCCTTGATAGATAGAAGATGGTACTCAGACCAGTCTCAGCAGATTTGCTGTTTTCTTAGAGGTGAAATTTTTTTTTATTTACAGTGCTCTGCAGTATATGTGTTGCTCAGACAAAATTACAAAAAGAAAAGAACTCAGAGAATCAAACAACAGGAACATTCTTTTTAGCAGCGCAGCTTCACCTCTGCATCCATAGCAACAAAATCCAACTACTTAGAAAGAGTGCATGGTTCAAACTGCTCAGCCTGAACCTTGGCAAAGCAGCTCAAGCTCCGCGGCTACATACACAGAAATCAATTAACATTCTTCATTTCTAAAAGGCTCTCCAAAAGGTATACAGCGTGCGTTGTTTATAGGTCACATATATCTCGAGACTGAAATATTTGACAAGACCACATAAACAAAACTGTAGTTGTTGTAAGTAAAGTCTTGAATCAGTTTACGTTCTTGGCACCTTTCAGGAGCAGGTGTCTCAACATGATCCATAACAAAAGACAGAAAGACAGAAAATGCAGGCGTGAAAAAAAAGACCCAGGAGAGAACCATGGGTCAGACGACAATATTGAGTTGCATCGTTCCGCCCTGCACCTGCATTCGCAATCTTTAGCAAATCACATAACCTGTTTATTTTGAAATCATTGGCCTGTGGATCAATAGGTCTCCTCTTTATTGGCACGTACTCTTCATCATCTCTGCTCATCTCACCCTTGTCAACCCATTCACCTCGACCACCCTGAGTCTGGGCAATCATTTCTTTAACCCTCTCCGTCTCTTCTTCTCACAACCAGGTCAAAGAAATGCCTGACTGTAAAAAAAAGGATACATTTTCTCATGCGGCTTGACATTGAGTAAAAGCTGGTCATGCAGTAGCACAAATGAACCCCCTCAATATTTATTTTATCTTTCTGCATTCCCTCTGACTCCCAGCAGTTGGTCAGTGACCATATTAAAGCACCAGATAATTGGATCTGGCAAGTACAAATGCTTAAAGTCCCGTGGGATTTTGTTTCCAATCCCTGATTGTTTTAATGCCCTGTCACAATTCACCCCTTAGCCCTACTACTTAGCCCTACGCCTTCGCTTTGCATGTGGCTGTGAACGGGTGGTGTTGTCCCACTTCTCTATATGATGTAGGAGTATTGGCCATCCAGCCCTTCAAACACCCATTCAACTGTAGTGTATTCAGGCCGCCCTTAAAAAAAAAACCAAAGGGGTAGACGGAAATTACCGAATCATTTACGAACAGATGAAGCCATGGGTAAAATACAGATGCAAGTACGAAATATTCCAAAAATAATAACCATGAAATGTATTTTTGAATCCAGTAAAATATCTTTAATCCAGTAGCAAATAAAAATGTCAAGCCACATTATTCCTTATAAATAAACTCACAGCTGTCTCTGTCTACTGATCACCAGAGATGGGTATTTATACCAGGCTTCTTTTGACACCTCTGTCTGATTCCCTCTCCTACAAAGGGTAAGAGTTATAGAGTAAAATCTTTTCTACCTCACTCAGCACTCTGCTTCCTGAAGAATGGAAATTGGTTAAAAAAGGGAGTTAATCCTGCCGCCCACTGCAAATAACATTAAATAAAAGTTGGATTTTGAAAGCTTAGAAATGACCATTCGTTTCTGTTATCTTACTAAATTGAATGTAGCACTCTCACTTTGAAGAAACAGTTTGATTAATGGGAACATTCATTCATGATGCAGTGGCAACAGTTACAAACAGAAACATAATATCTGCAAAAAAAAGATGATTGCATACTTCCCATGGAAGCCGATGTGTTCTGTTAGCATCACTAGAAAGCACAGGAGGCCTTTTCCACAATACAGTGGGACTTAAACAGAAATAGTACTGGACTTAAAGGTACAGTGTGTAGTATTTAATGATATCTAGTGTTGAAGTTGCATGTTGTAGCTGAACTCCCCTCACCTCATCCTCTCCTTGAAACATGAAAAATAACCTGTGGAAGCTTCAGTTGTCATAAAAACTCAAAAGTTGTTTAGTTTGTTCAGTCTGGACTAATTAAAAAAACATGGTGGCCTCTGTAGAGAGGGTCCCCTCCATGTAAATATAAAGTATTTAAATATAAAGGTCTTTTCTGGGTAAAGAAAACTACAATTCATACAATTTAGATGAAACAAACTAGTGAAAACATCATGAGGATTATTCTACATTACATTTCTTACATACTGGACTTTTAAAGGTCTCAATCTCATGAGGACAAAAAATAATTGTTGGGTCTGTGTCGTATCAGCAAGATTTGAGGTAAATGTATTGATTTGGACAGTTAAGCATGACCATAAAAAGCTGCCTGTCTACTTACAGAGTAATAGTGACAGTAATGATAGAGCCAGAACTCTGCCATTTTTAAATTATGAACTATTCCTTTATTTTTATTGGCGCTGCCCACCTC